CACCATTGTTTATGTCCATGGCTCATGTTGGCCACTCCATTTCCTACACTGCACTTTACATCCCCATGGCTATTCTGTAACTACCTATTTGTACTTCTTGATCCCCTCACCTCTTCACCCATTCCCACACCCCGCTCCCATCTGGCAACCAGCAAAATGCTCTCTGTGTCCATGATTCTGTCTCTGTTCTTCTTGTTTGCTTAGTTTTTCTTTTCGATTCAATCGTTGATAGATGTATATTTATTGACATTTTATTATTCATAGTTTTGATCATCTTCTTCTTGAATAAGTCCTTTTAACATTTCATATAATAACGGTTTGGTGACAATGAACTTCTTTGGCAAGAAATATTCAAAGTCATGAAAAGCAGGGACCTACAGCCAAGATTACTCTACCCAGAAAAGACAGCATTTAGAATCAAAGGGCAGATAAAGAGCATCCTAGACAAGGAAAATCTAAAGGATGATGTGAAGTCGTGATGATAAACTCCTGTTTGTGATCGTCTTAGCTGATAGGTCTCCGTCACCTGCACCAGAGGAAGCTCCCACGTCGCCTCACATCCCATGGCATTGCAGATTCCACCGAAATCATCTTACTTCCTCCCACTCTATCACTTCCCCAACTCCATTCTCACACCTCTAAACTCCATGAATGAATCCGATTAGCCTAAAACGCTGTTAGAAGCCGAACAATCATCCTATAATCTAACTTAAAAATACACTAAAACAAGACGGAGAATAATTTTAGAGAATTTCTATAAAAATAAAAGAAGAGAGGAAATTTCATTCATTGTTTATTCCATTACAATGGCTCTACTCCGGGTCCTGTTTTCTGCCAGATTCACCACAGACGCAGCAAATCGAAAGGGCACTGCTCACCATTATTGCCAGATGATCATCAGCCATGTCCTCTTTTAACGTGTAAAAATTACTATTTTTTCATAGTAACCCACGGTCAGTTTACAAGCACTATGCTAAAGTAAAAGAGAAATAAATTATACGCAAGGCAATTAGGGGAATATAGGAGCCATAGCTAGTCCTGGGGGCGGGTTCTCAACCTTCCACTGGCTGGCTGTGCGCCCTGAATATGTCATCTCACCCCGACTTGGTTCTCCAATCTGTAAGGGGGCGAGGGATATCAAAAAGAGAAATAAGGCCACCAACTACCGCCATCATCTACCTCTCAAAGGCTGCAGGGAGATTCAAATGAGCTGACACTAGCAAAGCACGTCTTACAGCAGGTACCAGGGACAGCAGGACAGAAGAGAGAAGCAGAGGATACAAGAGCTCGTGAGATGGAGATTATCTTTTTGGAGGAGTGAAGACCACTCAGCAAACCAGCGTCGCATCCAAGGTCCAAGCCCCGGCTTCTTCACCCGGTTCTGCTACTGCGGCGCTTGCCAGAAGACACAGCCACTTAACTTTAAAGCAGTGGAACTGCTCCTTCCCAGGCACCTCCGGGAGGAACGTCCCTGAGGGAGCAGCAGCAAGGAGTTCCACTGGTCCCTCCTGGAGACACCTCCCTTTCCCCACGACCCCACCTGAAACTAATCCTGGCCTCAAATTTGGCCGTTTCCTCTCAAATGATAATACAGCCACATAAGCCTCACAGATAAACATTATGAAGTGCATTGTTTATAGTCATATTACATCTGTGAGAACAGAGTCTCTGAAAATCAAACAACTTGACCAAGATCCCCCAGCAGGTAATAAGCAAGAGAGAGGATTTAAACAAAGTCCTTTGGACAGAGAGTGGGTCCGGCCTCTGCTTCCCCCATTACATTTAACTCGTTCTGAGTCAGTTCGTTACTACCTCCCTTTGCACCCACCACAAGAGCCTCTTCCTCCTTGTGACCAGTCCTACAAGCTGCTGCCGACCCTTTTCCCCAAGCCCAATTCCGCTTCCACCCTGGCTCGCAGCACCCAGCGCGGTGCACCACCGAAGGCAGCAGCTTTCAATAAACGCCTGGCGACTGAGTAACATCTCTGCGCATGCTGCCTCGGCTTCCTTCCCTCTGCAAAACTGCCTGACCTGTGCGTCTGCTCCAGCTCCCCAACCGAGACAGTCTTACTCCATGAACACCCACCTAAGGGTCCACCATGAACCACGGTCTCCTCCTCTCTCCAGACTTGCTGTTCCCTCCCCGGAACAAAGAATGTTTTTCAACACCCCTGGCCACCCTGCCCTCAACACCCTTTCCAAGCTGAATGGAGGGACAAACGACCCTCCTACCACTCTCTTCTGAGTGAGCCCACGCCTGGATGCTGCATCACTCTTGCAGCCTCAGAGCAGGGCAGGTCTTTATAAAATACCCCCACCACCTTCTAGAGCACATTCTGCCTCAGCTATCATCGTCCTGGTCTCACCTAAGCTAAGCTTTTCTTCTTCCAGGAAGTTAAGGAGGCCTTTGTCTCAAGTCTCGGCTAAATAACAGAAACATGTGTTTCTGTTTAGAGAGCTCTAAATGCAAAAAAAAAAAAAAAAAAAGGTACGCCCTTTGGTTACACACAGGATGTACGAGTAGAAGTCTCCCCAGTCTGATGGCATGAAAAGAGGGAGCCCAGCCTCCGGGGGCCTCCTTCCCCTTCCGCTCCTGCACTGGGACTTGGCATCAAAGCACGTGTTGTCTTCCAAATGAAAGACTATACCTGTGGGAGACGTTCGCCATCGAGGACTCACCCAAAGACTTATAATTTGGTTGGTATATTACTGTAAGTTGGTTAAGTTAATAAATAAGAATCCACCTCTATTTTATTTTTCCATCTCAAGTATACAGACGGCTACCTATGATGAGGCAAACATGAAGTGCATGGGCCCAAATGCAAAAGCCATGCTGGTATGTGTGTCCTCTGTGCTGCGAAGTGTCTAACGGACACTCAAGACTATAATGAAATCTAGTAACTGGGTGAAAGAATATAAATAATAGGGAAAACAACAACATTCCAACATTATATTCTTGATTCAAGAATTCAAGATTATATTCTTTATGCCCTGGCTGGTGTGGCTCAGTGGACTGAGCACTGGCCTGTGAACCAAAAGGTTGCCAGTTCGAATCCCAGTCAGGGCACCTCCTGGGTTGTGGGGCAGGTCCCCATTGGGGGTTTGCTAGAGGCAACCGATCCATGTTTCTATAGCACATCAATGTTTCTCTCCCTCTCTCTAAAAGTGAATAAATAAAATCTTTAAAAAAAAAAGATTATATTCTTTAAACAGTCCTAAGAATTGTTTTTTGAATGGAGTAGTGGTGGTCTGCTCTGGTCTGCTTTTGAAACTTTTGAGAATTTCTTTCTCTGAAGTAATAAGTATTGAATAAGGTCAAGGGGACAAGCAAGGATAACTCCCACAGATTAGAGTAGGATCTAAATTCTTCAGAATCTTCCTTCTAGACTAATAATGATGTTGGAGTGCAAAACCTTAGAATGTGTTGGAAATAGGATACCTTTTAACCTGATCATTTGAAAGAATGCTTTTTGAAATGCTGCTTTTCCCTTGTAAACAGTGTGAGGAAGTCTAGAGGAAAGGAAATAAAACAACATATGGAGAGATTACAGGATTAACTCGGTCCATGATACACTTTAAAACGACACAGGGAGGCTTCACAGTCTTTTTTAAGAAGTCATTGTAAATTCATAATAAACAACTGAATTCTATGCCTCTTCCATAAAAAAGAAGCCAGGGGAAACACTAGAAGGTATGTGTTTATTCAGTAATATTTACATCAAGCCTACAAATAAAGAGGTATGTATTGAAAACAGTGGATTTGTATTTAAAGTAAATAAATAAGCCCAGCATATTTTCTACTTCTGCCCTTTGGATTTCCAAATTTAGTCTTCTAAGCAATGGCGTAAACAGTAAGTAGTCTTCAGGAATCTCTTCAATAGCAATAGGGCTCAAAGTAATTTATTTAATTAAATTGAAATTCAAACTTAACAAAAAATTGAGAACTACACTTAAAACTGTTCCAACTGCTTGACTCAAGACCAATGAATGTAAAAACATTCTAAAATAAATATATTTGAATGAAAATTCATAAACAGCCCATAATATAAACAAGCGCTGAAGTTTACTAAATCCATTCTCTCTCCCTCTCTGTCTCTCCCTGTCACATACACACACATGCCTCTTGTGAGCAGTAGCTGACCCGCTATGCAAGATGATAGAGATTTTAATAAAGATTTCTACAAATCTTGTTAGGTATAGTAATCATGATAATGTTCAAATCTTTGTAGTTTAGAGCACAAGCATAGGACAGCTCTAACGCTAACCCAATAAAAATTTAGACTGCCAAACCCTGGGAGCAGCCTCTGCCCACAGACCCCTGTAATTTTCATAATCCCGTCCCTGGGAACACACACCTCGAAGGCTTTGAGTACAGCCCGAGGGTGGGCAATGGTAAGAAGGCCGAGTAGTAGTTGCACGCATAAAAGATAATAGCACCATACGCCATGGACGTCACCGAAAGGGGCCATGCCGCCTCTGCTCACAAACTCTGAGAACTGAAACACACAGTTACGCAGGTATCTAGGTTTGGTCCAGCCTGTCCTCACCAGAAACAATGTCAAAATGCATTTTGTGGTGGGTGGAGGAAAGTTAAATTGTTAAGCGGTGACGTAATTATTAACTTCCCATTTGATGACAGAGAATTTGCATTTTTACCCTAATTTTTACCTTTGGTATGTACTTGAGAATACGTCATTGCTCTAGACAAAATGAAGAAGAGAAAAAAAATTTAAAAAACAGAGAGAAGGAGGATAAAGAATTGGAAAACCAACATAGTTTGATTTCGTTTCTTATCATCACATTCGTGACAACTTATTTAACCTGCTACGACTTTTCTTAACTTCTGTCTGAATGCTTCCTGCTCTTATGAGATTCATCACCTTGCACCTCATACTTAATACTGACTATAATGTATATTGGTCGCCTTGTCCTTAACGGACATTGCTGAGTGTGTGCACACAACTCTTTGGAGAATGATTCTTTCTGCGATCGTCACTTACCTTCGGGAAAAGCATTGGGCTGCACCACATGGAGGAAGCCATGAACCATTTGAAAGAGAACACCAATGGGTCCGGGTGTGTGAGATTCTTTGGTCTCATAGCTGGTCGAGGGCAATTCAAATTCCAGGCCATGGGTACTTCTTGGGGATGACGGAGGCCCCTCTGAGATGGTGTCCCGGCAGAGCCCCAGCAGCAGCAGGAAGCTGAGTATCAGGATCATGGTCAGCAAGATGCACCACACATAAGGTAGAAGAGGGGGCCTCCCTCCTCAGAGCTTCTGGAAACCGAGGATGCGCCAGGAGCGTGTGTTTCTGTGCAGGAGAGGCCTGGGGGAGATTGGGTCTGTGGCGTCCTCCGTTTCCTGGCCGGGCTGGCATGCACGGTCTCCAGAGGGATCAGTCGCTCAGGGCAGCATCCCTGGCAGAGAGAGAAGGGGCAAGAGTGGATAACACAGCAGGTGCCCGCACTGGGGGAGCTGCTCCAGAGGAAGCTGCAGGCTTTAGAGCAAGTCTATCCCCCTAATCTGGATGGGGGAGGGGAGTGGGGAGCAAACAGAGGCTGACCCAGAGCCGCAGGGACAGGAGAGTGAGAAGCAGCTCCCTCCTCTGCAAGGGGCCATACTCAGATTCTTTATGGGTTCAAGAAACACCAGGTTGCGCAGAGACGACTTTGCAGTCTCAGAAGCTAACGTTTATTGAGCACTTACTATATTCCAGACACTGTGGTACGTGCTTGACAGGTAGGACCTTGTTTAAGACATTATCCCATTTTACAGATGAGGAAACTGACAGATAGGATCTCGGTGCCTTGCCCAAGGTCAGAGCTGATTCAAGGCGAGGCCAGAACTCAAACCCAGCAGTTTGCCTTTAGAGCCCAGTCTCTAGACCCTAAGACTCTCCTGACAGACCCTCCAGTCCGAGGCACAGAGGCCCCCAGCAATAGGCTGTATGCCTTTTTTCCTCCAAGTTTGTGTCATTTTCCCCGTCTCTGGAGATAAATCATCCTCTGCCTTTTATTCTATTTCCATGCTCACTGATCTCATTTCAAACATTCCCCCTCCATTGACCCCAACCCAAACTAGAAGAACAGGGGCTCAAGGGCAAGGACTAACTCTCTGGGTGACACTGGAATTGTCCATCTCATACAGTCACCAGGTAGTCTCCATGGAAACCTTTGCCCCCAAGTCACCACCTGATCAAGTAGAGGTCCAGGCAATGAGAGGTAGGTTGGAGGGGGACTCCTGCCCACCTTCGGGGAGAGGCAGAAAAACACAGGAACCCTAAAAGCAGCTACCAACCCAGTGTCCCCTGAAAATGCCCAATGTGGCTCCTGTTCCCCAGAACTGAACACAAGGCAGGGCGTGCAGTAGGGGCTCAGAAACGGCTGTTGAATATACATATAAATAAACCAAAATCACTGACTGGCTTGGGCTGTTGTGTGAGACAAGTGGACCAAAACAGAACCTACCAGAGGCACTGGGATGCTCTGCTGGTCCCCTCTGTCCTGCTGTCAGAACCCCAGATTTTATTTCATGTAGTAGACAGACACTAACTTTCAAAATGAGGACAAAGTTCTCTCGAAACACACACTGTGATGGGGACCCTCAAGAAAGTGACACATTGTCCAAGGGACCAGTGGACCCGTAACTTACATTCCACCAAGTCAAAGGAGAAGTGGGATTTCATGAGCTATTTGAATGAAGATGTGAATTCCTATGGAATCCCCGTAGGGATTGCCTGTCTTTTAAGACCCGCCCCACTCTGATTACTTCTGCAAAGAGCCACAACATAATGACCCTAAACTCTTCCTTTATCAACTCAGGGCTGCTCAGCTCGCCCACAGGCTTCCAGGACCAAACCCATAACCCCCCCAGCTTCCATGTCTGCTTCTCCACCTCACCCACAAACACACCCAGGATGCTGCTGTTTCCAAGAGACAATCTCCCTGCCAGGCACGGCAGCTGCAAACAGTCCTCAGGCCCTGCGGTGCCCAGGCCTTTCGCCGATTCTAACAGGAAACCAGGGCTCTGCTCAGTCATCAAATTGTTTCCAACGAGAACAAGTTAAAAAACAAAGTGTCAGCTTTTGTAAGTCCCTTGGTCTAGAAATTTCTGGGGCAGCACAGAGTAGGAGGAAGGTATGAAACGCTAAGAGTGTGTGTGGTTATTCAGGTAGGATAGGGCTACTCCAAGCAGACAGGCAAGTATGTGCACATGCAGCACACATGCACACACGTACGTATATATTACACACACTTCATATCCATACAACACACACTAACACATATATACAGGACAGGGCAAGAGTAGGTTTACAGTCAAGAGTACATGAAACAGTTTATTCTCATATTGTTATTTATTCATTATTGTATTATTCTTCATACAAAGAACTGTAAACCTACTTTTGTCCCACCGTGTTGCAAATGGGCACACACAATACACACACCACACACACACTAACACACACCATGTACAGATATACCACACACTGACACACTACCTATACACAAACCACACACACCAGTACACCATACACACACTAACACACAACACCCATTTGTACGCCTATGGACACATACCACACACACTAGCATCTCGTTCTCTGCTAAAGGACACTCCCGGAGCACAGCAGCTGGAGGGATTAAAGGCTCAGCTGCTAAGAAAGGCTGACTTCCTGGTAATCACCGAGCCTCCGCCAGGGATAGAGAGATACACAGCGAGAGAGAAATGGCAGCAGGCCCGTGGGAGAGCCAAGAATAAACAGACTTTCAGACTCCCTCCATGAGACAGCGTGGGAAGGGAAGCCCCAAAGACAACGCTGTGTCTCACTGAGGAGGACATGGGAGCGTCAGTGGGCTGAGACAGCACCTGGAGCCCCAAGCCCAGGCATCTTTAAACCTTGCTCCAGAATGTCAGTCCCTCTTAAGTTTAAATTTTAAGAAAATATTAAAATCTCATGACACCTGAAACACTAGATAATTCATAAAAGTCAAGCGAGGAAAAAAAGGTTTTCACCCCAGCTTTAATTGGCGGTGCCAAGTCCAGGTGCTTCCCTATGAAACCACACACAGGTAGCAAGTGTGCCGGAGAGCAGCTCCCAGAACTGCTGGCATAAAATCCACAAAAAACCCTCATGGACCAACAGCTCCATCAGCGTAAAAGGGGGTGTTGGTTTTAAATGCAGATTAGCGGCACGAATGTCTAAAGATGGGGGCCATTCATCTGCATGTTTCACAAGCTTCCCTCATGAGGGACCCTTATGACATGTGAGGTCTGAGAACCAGCACTGTTCCTGACCGCTGCCGCGCTCACTCTTGCCTCTTTCCAAAGACACCTCAGGCTTCCCAACAGAACTGCAGGGCAACGGAAGGAAGGCTAGGCATCCCGACTGCCCTTCTTCCATAGTGCGGCGAACTGACCAGCTGTTGTCGGGGGGTGTCTGACTGACTTCTCTCTGTGCCTGTAGAGTCAGGCACACAGTAGGCACTCAGCAAGGACTGCTGAAATCAAATGGTGGAGAGATGATGGAGAACTCACAAAATGGTCTATTGTACCTGTTTCAAAATTGTCAAACATTTGTTTATGGGCAGTCCCCGCTACTTCCTGCCAACACAGAGAGCCAACTGGTCTACCCTCCTGCAGGCCATACTTCCTGCTGGGACCACCAACATGGCAAGCTTTGGAAACTGCTCTGTCGAGGGCTATCCCCTTGCCTAGGTCCTGGACTGATCAATAAAGTTGTCTCACCATCTTTCTGATGGTTTATAGGGGTGACGATTCCTGGTTTTCATTCCAAATATACTGATTTCAAACTGGGGAAGGGGCTCAAGAATGTGAATTTTAAGCAAATATCTCACGTGATTTTGAGCCCAGAGTCCAGGGTGGGGCATATCCACAAACCCTGGTTTATAAGCAAACATGGTGACCATCCAGCTTCATTTCTTCTCTTCTTCTCATGGAAATTTGATGGAATTTCTTTGTCAAAGATCTTTGCACTGGATGTTTGTCATCTGGGGCTTTGGGGGGTAGGAGCTGACCAACTTCTGAGCCTACCTTAGTGAGTCTGTGGTTGCCAAATCAGACCTCTCCTTGTGAGGCCAGCTGAGGCATGCAAACTGTGTCCTGCTGGGTGACTCCGGCTCAGCCAATCAGACACTTACTCCTGGGCTTGTGCAGGGATCAACACGCAAGGCTGAGACATTTTCTCATTCCTCCGCGGTACCAGCAGGCACATCCAGAGTCTCATCAAGGTGATGGCCCATCCATACGCCACTCTGGGGTTCTTTTGCATGTCCTGAGCCTGGCTAGCCGGCCTCCCTGTCATTTCTCTAAGCCACCTGATACAACTACCAGAGTTGGCGTTTGCCATTTGTAACAAAGCACCCCAGGCTTTAACAAATCTCAGAGATGGCTCTTGGTACCCCACAAAACCTACTTCCTTCATATTTGAAAAGGTCAACAGAACCATATTTGGTTTAAAGTTTTACTATTTTAACCTGTCCTCTGATGCACTTGCTTGCGTCCTTGCCCAAACAGTCCAGCATGGAATCCGTATGGAAGTTCATAAGCAGTATTGTGAGACACATTAAGAAAACAAAACTAAAAGGTCCTGCTGAAGAGACCACAGGGCTGGAGTCTGGCGTCTGGCTTACTAACTCTGTGACGGTGCACCCCTTTCTCCACACTATCCTTTGCTCATCTGTAAACTGGGGTTTCCCGTCATGCGGGGCGGGGAAGGCGGAATAGGTTCCGCGCCTGGACGCAGCTGGCAGTCGATGAAGGGTCTGCGCGGCTCCTGCCAGCATCCACGCTCCCACCTCAACAAGACAGGACGGCTCCAGGGATATTGAAAAGAGAAAACTCACGAGTAAGTGAGAAAAGAAAAATAAGTAGTAAGGTCACGCAAGTCGAATTGCATGAAGTTGCCGATATTCAAGTCTTCCATGCAAAACCAGAAAAGCATCCAAAAAAACACCAAAAAAACAAACCACCCGGCAACTTCATGTAGTTCAACCTAACACATGGCCGCAGATATTTGAGTCTCCAAGAAGGGTCTCTGTTGCAGCGCAGGGCGGGGTTAGGTTTAAGGAAACCAATCACACACCTTATCCTTACAAAGGCCCCCGCCGCCCACCGGACTCCGGGAAAACCTCCTGGAAGCCGCGCTGGGACTCGTCAGCAGCCAAAGCGGGCTGCGGGCGGGCTGCGGGCGGGCTGCGGGCGGGCTGCGGGCGCAACCTGTTGCCGCGGGAAACTTGGGGCCCTGGCTTCCCCAGGCTTTTTATCCAAGCTGCCGCCAAGCCGACCCCCTCCTCCCCGCCCCCCGCCCCCAGCCTCTTCAGACAGCGGGACACAAAAGAACGGGCTGCAGGGCAGGTCGGGAAGCCAGACTCCAGGAATTAGCCAGCCCCCTGGGGGAGGGGGTTCCGGAGTAACTCGCTGCCCCCAGCGAGCACGTGCGCTCCACAGCCGGGGTTGGCAAGGATCGGGGGTCCCCTGGGAGGAGACGATCGGATCCCTTGCCCCTCTCCGCGTAAGCTTTCAGGGAAACTGACCTCGGGTCCCGACTCGCCAGCACCGCAAAGCTCTTCCTCTGTCCGTGCTCCCCTTTGTTGTCCCGGCAGAGCCTACCGCCGGGGGCGCCCCAGCACTTAGTTCTCGATCCCAAAATCGGTGCAGGTCGGCGCGCGCTCTGCACCCCAAACGGGTAGGGGAACCCTTCGAGTCCGGGTTTAGTGAGCTCCCCGGCTAAGCGGGCAGGTGGCCTCTGACTGCCACCAGAGCTCTCCGGTGTTATGGTCGCTTGCGCAGCCTATTCCATTTGGCAAATCAGAGAAAGGTGACCTCTTTCCATACCCATCGGGAGGCTCAGTGCCTCGCGCTGCGGGTGCCACCCCAGCTCTCCCTCACCGCAGAACAGTTCCCAAGGCCCCCATGAGGCTCCTCTTGGTCCACTGCCCTTCAGAGATCGAGCCCACGGCCTTGGGTCCGGCCCCGGTTCTGCTCGCTCTCTCAACACGAGCTCCCGCCCAGAACCTGGGGACCACAGCCGGCGGCTCCCGACCAGTGGATGAAAAGAAGACCCACCAGGCAGCCGGCAAAGTCGGCGCATCTCACTCTGCCTGGAATCCCACTGGCGGGGCGCCTGGACCACCCCGCCCGCCTGGCAGCCCTTCTGGACACCTTCGGCTCACATCACTTACTGAGGTGTCGGGGCGGGGTCTCGGAGGACTGGGAGGTGAAGGGCGCATAAAGAACCCCTCGGTTTCCCATTCCCCACCCCCAGCTTTCTACAATGGGGTGTGCTTCGCCGCCTCAGGGGGAGGGCGCAAACACTCACCCTGCGCCCGGTCCAGCTCCCGCTTTGGCCAACGCGGCCCGCCGCTGGCCCTCTCCGCTCGCTGCCCTGCTCCCCGACCCGGCTCACAGCTCCCGAATGATTAAAGAGCCTGCTTCGGGGACCACCGGGAAGGCTTCCGGACAGGCTCTGGGAGGCGGCGGCACGGGAAGGCAGCTACCCGGGAGGCGCTAGCAAGGCCAGTGGCCTGGGGACCTGTTGCCTCCTGCTCTCCTCCCCACCGAGACCTGCGGATGGAGTCACTTGTCTGTCCAAGTTTCCATAAGTGTATTCAGTACTCACCTGAGGCGGGACAGCTGAGCGCTGCGAGATACCTGGCGGGGACCCCGCTGGGTGTTTTAAAGAGAGCTAAGCCTGGGGGTCTGGGCGCGCTCCCATTGGACCAGCAGGGCAGTGTTGCTGATGCCCCGGGTCACCTGAAGGGCTTGGACTGCCCACGTTTCCTGAGGCGGGAGTCCTGCTCACCGGAGCACGCCCTTCTCACCGCACCCACGCCTCCTTCACCCAGACCGGGCCCTCCGATTGGAATGCCACCGCGCTTCCTTCCACAGACTCCTCCTCTGTCTGGTTCCCACTCCGGCCTGCCTCGGCGGACTCTCCCGCCGCCGCTAAGGACGCTTTTATTGCCAGCTCCCAACAGACTTTTAAAAACAATTTACCCAAACAAAAGAAAGCCCAAATCATTTTGGTTCCTTAGTGTGTACCAATCACAATGTTAGTGGCTGGAGCTATACAGCGGCATAAAGTAGCCATTCTCCCATATATGCATGCAGACGTCCGCTGCACTGGACACATACCAGCCTTAGTTAATCATTTCATACTGGTCTCTCCGGGCTGTGAGCAGCCCGCCACCTCCACAGGCCCCACTCGCTGCCGGGCTGCGCCTGCAAACCTTCTGCCAGGAGGACTCAACCACCCCCTCGTCTAACTGCACCCACCAATGTGCACCTCACGTCTCACTCACCACTTCCTACCTTGAACAGAGAATACTGTCTGATAGGAAAACTAAGATCTCTAAGTGCCCTCAAGACGGGGTACAGCATGGATCTTTGACGTTTGTAACATGGGCGGATAGAGGGAGGAACGCCAGATCTTTGAGGGATGGGCGGGAACATTACCTCGGTGGCTCTTTCACTTACTCCAGAACCTACCAGAACAGGTGCTGGCAACAGCGTTGTTTGATTTAAAGTTTACACTCATCATGAATGTGCCTGCTTCTAGGACAAGAAATACTAACTAGTTCAGGGAACCTCTGAAAATGACACTACACTACAGGTATCGTGAGGGTACGTGGTACCCAGAGATGGCTTCTCAGCAGGCCTGGTGCTTGCGCCTGTGAAGCTCCCGATGATCAGGGGCCTCTGCTTGCCTACCCCCCAGAGCCCCAGTCCAAGGGCTCAGAGGCAGCCCTGGGGGCGGGGGAGGGGGGCAGCCCGGCCAGAGGTGAATTTTCTCTCCTGAAAGCAGCGAGCTCTGACCGACCTCAAATTCAGGCCCTTTTCATCGCTGTGCCTTTGGCTGCTTTATCTTGAGAATTATGTCTCACGGGGCTTTTTCTTTTTTTAATCTCTAATAATAATAATGTGGACAGCAGTAGCGGTCCTCAGCGCTAAAGCTTAATGAGCGTTCTCTATGAAGGAGGCCCTAGGCTCAGCGCTTTCAGTGCAGGATTTCATGTAATCTTAGCAACAACAGCAGCATTGTCTCTCTCCTTAAAGACAAAGCTAGAACAATTTCAGTCACTTGTCCAAAGTCCCAGAGCTAGTAAGTGAAGCACGGATTTCGAACGCTGATCTGGCCTCCAGTACAGATCTGGCCTCCAGGTCTAACACACCAGTACTCCCAACAGAAGGCAAAACCTTCGCAGGCCTGTGCTCCTCAGTGGAAAGCGCATCGTGTCCCTGAATGCTTCGACTATTTTTATCCATTTTCATTGCCCTCAACAACTACTCTACCTAGACCATCATAGGTATTCAGTTGGTAGATGAATAGATAATAAACACAGGCACAGTATTAAGATGTGTTCTAAACAGCCTTAGGCAGGCAGTGAAGGGACCTCATGCTTTGTCCTGTTCATTTGGACTCTGGGCCCTAATTCCGCACTCCTGTATTTTTAGTGCTACTGAATTTCTATGTCTCCTGTTACTTGCAAGGCCTGAAGCAGGTGATGTTATAGGCGTATACACACTCAGTCATCAGATGCAAAAATTAGGTCTCCCTTTCTGAAATGGCTTGGCTCCCCATTTTTCCTACCCAAATGAACATTAAACACATGGTACCATGACATCCTAGCAAGAGACAGGAGATTCATTCAGATGCTGTCACTAACTCCCATTGTGGCTGCTGGTAAGTCACATGGTCACTGATAAGTCACAGACCCCTAGGGCTTCACATTCCTCACTGGTTCCCCTGGGGCTAGAGGCTACCATTTGCATAGCACAGAGAGAGGACATTCCAGTCATCGCAGGAAGGTCTACTGGAGGCCGCTGGGCCAAAGAGTGAACCATAATAACCAAAAATTACAATATGACTGGGATGAGAAGATTGAGTTTCAACAAAGGTATCAGGGTTAGGTGACACTCGAACTGAAGCGTTGAAGTGAATTATTGTCCGAGTACCCAGCACTTGGTCATTCAAGCATCTCAAGTTTTTCACAAGAGGCTCCTTATGAGAAACTTTGGATATTTTTCTGAGCCAATACGACTAAAACAAAATAGGTTAGCAAGTATATTACTCTAGTTACCCTGACAATTTCTACCAAGAAAACATATGCTTCAAAAAAAATGGCGGCACTTGGCCCTTCAGAAGAACAGGATTGTGACATCTCAGCTGCCACTGGCCTGCTTTCTTAAGATGAGACTGAGATACGTGTAAGGGGCAGCCTAGAAGAGAGGAGGAAAAGGGAGAAGTGTGGGGGCGGGGCAGAGGGGAGGAGGGGGATTGTTCTAAATAGAAATTCTATTAGTTTCACCCTGACTGGTGTGGCTCAGTGGCTTGAGTGCTGACCTGAAAACCAAAGGGTCACAGGTTCGATTCCCAGCCAGGGCAGGTGCCTGGGTTGCAAGCCAGGTCCCCAGTAGAGGGTGCTCAAGAGGCAAGAACACATTGATGTTTCTCTCTTTTCGCCTTCCCTTCCCCTCCCTCTAAAAATAAATAAATAAAATCTTTTAAAAAGAAAAAATAAAAAGAAATTGTACTAGTTTAGAAGGGAATGGCCTCATGCAAGCCAGGATTCTCTTATAAATATTTTACCTCATGATTTCCTGTTCATCTTGCTTTCCATCCCACCTCCTTGCTGCTGGGCTTTGATACCAAAAGTAACATTGCTGGTGTTTGATAACCGAAAGCCAAGGAAACATTCTTCTTGTATTTTGAGAAATGTCAGGTAACATTTGTAAGTCATCCACCAAGTCTGCTGCATACTAATTCAAAGGTAGAAAAGTTCAGTTCAGTTTGGACAAAAGGGAGGGAAGAGGAGGTGGGGTGGCCAGCCCAAGGCCAGGTGCTCCAGAGCTTGGATTTCCAGCGAGCGTGAACTCCAGGAGAGGCTGGAAAACGCTGTCCCACGTTAATGGGGGTAGGCGTGGGGGAATTTTACTTTTTATGTGCTGAACCTGTCTTCTGGTAACTGTTTCCAATAAATGCCTCATCTCTAGGGCCTGCTTTCATCTGTGCCTGTTCCTCTGACTTCATTTTTTGCTTGCAGGGACTCAAATGGGGATTTAGAGTTTGCGTTCAGTAACCACGTGGGGAAGGTGAGGGCAGCACAACAACAGAAAGCTATAAAGCATAAGGACACTCAATCTCATTTTCTCAAGGAAGGTGCACTTCCTTCCACCGGAATGCCAGTGAGCGATGGCAGGAGGAGGCAGGCAGGAAATGCCGCACTTTCTGATCCTCCAGATGTTCGTTTTTTTATCATATTCCATAAAAGGTTCACCCAGGAACTTGTACTTTATACAACAGCAAAACTTACATCTTTGCTACGCAGTATTTTAGAGCTCTGGAAATAATTACTATTATTAGTTTCCCCTACCTAACTACTAATTTGCACTTCTCATCATTATCTGAAAGGACTCACACAGCATCCATCAGCCAGCCCTCACGGTTCTTCAGTGCCTTCTGTAGATCATGAACTAGAGTCATTAGTTACTCTGACTCAGAACTACTTATAAAAAAATATCTTTTATCAGACATGGTCTTTCCTCTTTTTTACTATCCTTGCATTTTTTTCTCATTGGTAGACTTTTAAAAATAGCACTGTCTGCAATATTCTCTTCATACTTTATCTGCTACTGAATATAATCAGGTATTTATTTTAAACCCAGTAAACTTTCTGCTAATTAAAACACTTTTTTTTTCTCTCTTTTTTATGCCAGACCAAGTAAGGGGTTAAATAACAGGCCCATCCAACCTGAGGGCATTATGCTGAGTGAAGTCAGCCTGGGAAAGACAAATACCATGTGATCTCACTACTATGTGGAATCTAATAAAACCAAACTGGAAGAAACAGAGATTAAATTTGTGGTTGTCAGGGGCTGGGGCTGGCGAGCCAGGGAAGTGGGTGAAAATGGTCAAAAGGAACAAACTTCCAGTTATAAGATAAATTAGTTCCAGGGATGTAATGTATAACATGATGACTATAGCTAACAATACTGCGTTGTATATTTGAAAGTTCCCGAGGGCATATATCTTAAAAGTTTCCATCACATAGAAGAAAAAATTTTGTAACTGTGTGCAGTGATGGATGTTAACTAAACTTATTGCAGTGATCATTTCACAACATATGTATACATGTATCAATGCTTTATGATTTATACCTTAAACTGATACAATGTTATAGGTCAATTAGATCTTAATCATACTGGAAAACATACAATAAAATAGAAAATATATAATACAACATAAACAAATTATAGTTCCACCCAGGTACTTATAAAGAACAGCTATTTTTTGAGGGATAGTGGGGAAAACATGGGATGTGGCGGTTTGAACAGACCTGAGAATGACCTAGCTTTGCCGCCCTATTCCCTCATTCGTTCATTCATTCACTTACACATGCGTTCAGCGTCTTCTGTGGGCGAGACACAAATATGGCAGGGGATATACAAAGGAGACCCAGAGCTTATCCCTTTATAGAGGAGAACGTGAAAGATTAAAGCCACCAAGTCAATACTTCGCCTTCCTGAACTTCAGTTTCCTCACCTACAAAATAGAGGTTTTGCAAAGGTTAAATGATATGATACATGTAACATACCTGGCACACACACTAAGCAAGGACGGAAATGGCGTCTCCTGTTTCTGTTCTCTGTCAGACTCTCTCACCCTTATCCCCCACTTTTTCACTTCATCCCGCAAATATTTCATAATATATCCCCAGGATTTGCAAGGCTCCAGGCCAGAAAGGCCGAAGGAGCTGGACATCGTCTGACCTCTGCCCTTCA